ACAAAGGAGCGTATATTACAGATGCATCAAGCGGTGCACGTACACGCTGTACCGCAGCAACTGGTTGCGAGCCATTACATTATTTATAAAGTTAAAGGTTGTGCGGCTTTGAGAAATCTTTGAAAGAAATTATTTGCACGAATGACGACGATCTGAAGAATAATGGCATTATTAGAAGAGAACTGAAAGGAGAAATGCGCACAAACCATTTCGCTTTTTTTCTCCTGTTTTTATCGCGCACTACATTCATTGGCGTTAATAATTGCAGAGTTGGAGAAACGCGTTATTTATAATGCCATTACCATTTTTGTTTGGTAACGGTCGTTTTTTTTTTCTGTAACAGTAATGGTAACATTGTTACATTTTTACAGTAACGATTACAAATTCAGAGCCATTACCTTTCGTTACTTCAATCCTTTATTGTCTTTATTATTTACTATACATTCAACAGACTGTATATTTTTAATTTGCTGAAAATATTTTATAATAGAAATTTAAATATCGAAAAATGTCTTGTACTTTATTTCTTATAAGCACACTTTAGACGATTTATAATTCACGACTAAATTTGTTTTTTACAAAAACGTACACTGTGAAAAATAAAATGTTAATTTTAACATTTTTCCATGTCTCAGAAAGTCCACTATATGTTTTTAAGTTAAAATTAACATTTGATTTTTTACAGTGTAATGAAGAAAGTAACGAAGTGTTGTTTTCTATCTAACGATGTCGATAACGCATTACTTTTATGAAGTAATATTTCCAACGCTGAATAATCATATATATCAAATAATTTCTTTTGTACTAATGAACTATTTAGAGGATTATTATTTTATAACAGAAACTTAATTGTTAAGAAAAACCGAAGGACTTGCTGCAATGGACTGACCTATATATTTATGTAGCCAGATATGTGATATTGGTAAAAATGTGTATATGAATAAGTGTCACATCACCTATTTGTTCCAAAAGTTAGCTAATTCACTAGCTGTTATCGCTACTTTATTTGTGCAGTAATATTTTTTCTATCACTTAGCGATGTAACCATCTAATGCAGAGAAATTTTATTCTTTTCATAATATTTCTCTTATTCACGATTTACAACCCATAATAAACTTTTCAAGTATGTGCTAAAAGTTTTAGTAGTATGTGCAAATAATATATTTTATCTATCACTTTAACTTTCGAGTTTATTATCTCTGCCTTTACACAATGTAGGTTAGCCCACTGTTGCAGCAAACCATTCAATTTGTTCGCTCGTAACTAATTTAACTGAAATCTGATCTGTTTGTTATCCTTTTATAGTAAATGTAAGTCGAGTGAAGGCTCTTTCAATCACAAGCTCTTTCGATAAAAATTCAAAAGGCAAAACTCCTTTATTATTCTGAAATATATACAATAACGAGATGTTTTGAAAGACTTGCAGTTTTTTCAGATTGAAAAGATTCAGTGAACTTTTAAATATTATCAAAGCAATTTATCAACGATTGCATAAGAGGAACTCATTAGATCTTTGTTGTTTATTTACAAAAGATACTTTATAAAGAATGACATTTGTTATTTACAAAAGCTACGTAAACAAGCAAGACCTCTGCAATTGTATTTTTCATATTAAATTAGAAGGTTATACGAGAAATGATGTAATATCTACGCAGCTTGTTTTTTACTATATTATATATTTTAATTTTATTTTAATTTTATTATATAGAAACATTTATTCCACTGCTTTGTTTACGCATTGCTGGCAACAATAGATCGTTACCTATTACCGGAGCTTTCAATCGTCGAGATAGATATGAGCTTTCATACACGACTGTTTTTCTGTGACGTTTACGTATCCATATCGAATTGTCTTACTTTTCAAAAGCAAACGGGTTTTCTGTAGATATTGATGTTGCGGCCGCATTTTCAAGGATGATGCCGTAGAATCGCTTTCCGAGCGTTCTCTGTCACCCATCGGTATTCCGTAAATATCTAGCAACAGTTGATCCACCAGCGAGGTAATTACGATTTCTTTCTGCAGCGGTGAACAGTGCAGAGGTGGCGGGTATACCTAAAATACATTTAAGCAATATGTTTAGAATTTTTTTCTAAAAAAGGAGAATATTATAATATAAAGTAACAATAAAAATATATAATTAAATTCAGAAAAACTGAAAGAAGATTAGTTCGTTTATTTTTATTTAGTATGTTCTCAGTTTACTTCTGTTAGCTTTTTATTAAAGCTGCTGTACTAAGTTTATTACAAGTTATTACAATATCTTAAATTTAGCGTCTACATGGAAAATATAATTTGAATTTATAATATTAAATTTAGTATATACAAATTAAAAAAATTTTGTTGAATCGTCAAAATAAGTAGAAATCTGAAACATTATGATGAGCATGCTGCAAAAAATTAAAGCATTATCTGATATTACCGTTTATATTATGAAATGAGATTGTAGAGAGCAAATGAAAGAAGATATTTGATTAAAATATAAGTATAAATTTAAGTATGAGTTTCTCTTGACAAATATTTTACTAACAGATAAACTCTGGAGACTTCTAAAGAAGTTTAATTCCAAATTGACATATATTCTAACTTTTATGACTTCATACGTTAATACTTTAAGTCAACATTATTAAATGGAACAGGACTTCATTCAGATTACATCTTTTTATGTCATTAACTGAAAAATTCTCTTGATGGAGATAAATCTCGAGTTTTATTATACGAACATTTTACCTTAGGTTTCTTGATGACTGCATCATGATTTTCGGCATCCTTATAATTATGTGCAATTATGCTCGGCTCATCTCCCATCGACTTAGAGCGCTTTTGCCAGCGCGAGCTCTTGACACCGGCGCTTCCGGTCGATCGTTTGCTATTCAATTCCATGAAATTCGGTCCGTCCAGTGTCTGCTGTATCAAATTCCGCTTTTGCTTTCTACATCCCGACGGAAAAGGATAGCTTTCTGTCCGATAAACGAGGTCCTGCATCTGGGTGATGTAGACATCGCCGAACACCCGTTCATTTTCTACCGCGACACATTTCACGCGGTAAGTAATTTCCGTGTGCTTTTTCAGTGGCATCACGTTATAGCTCATGATCGTTGCTGGAAACACGCGTTCTCCATGTATGTACGTTGGTTCTACCGATCGCTGCCACTGTATCCGATTCTCAAGTTTCCCGCATCGCACCATTCACTGTCACACCGACGAACTTTGCCCGCGTTGCATAACGTACCATAAAGCGCGTTCGATCAATCTCCAGTTACGATTGTCTTTGTCGTCGTATTTCCCATATGTTCGACTCACATAACATGGAAACGGCTTGCAGGGGCATACCAAACATTTATTGATACGCTTCTGTATTTATTCGTTTTATTTACAACTCAGGTTATAAGTACTCTTTAAAACTCTTAATCTATTTTTACAATATGTGGTTACCTAAAGATTAAAGGTTACCAAGAGACTCATCAATGAAATTCATTTATGATGATAATTTCTTGAGAATTTAACTTTTAATCTTTAGGTAATCATAAATATTAATATTGTAAAAACAGGACTTAGAATAATTCTCACTTTGAAGAGTGAAATCTCACTCTTAAAGATTGAAAGTTGAGCCACTGTTTCTTAAGACTGATTTAATTTTTATTCTTTAAAGTGAAGTTCCAATTCAAAGAATTTAGAGAATAGATACGTTGTTTCATTTGTCGAGAATTTTATGATATGTGATAGGAAGTTTTATTGCAATCAAAATTAAGTGTTAAGATTTCCAACCTTTAAAAGAATTTTTTTAATTATGATTAATGCGATATTTATGATTAAATTTAGTCTATTGCGGAAGAACTGTAAATTACGTCATTGATAATTTACCGAGTTCTGTTTATTTAAACTTGAATAATTTTTTAGGCCGCTAAATATCTTTTGATGTCAAAATTGTTAAATACTATATTCAAAATATTGGATTTAATATGGGAGACATTAAAACTTAAAAAAATATTTGGAAATTGCGAAAATTTATGTATAGCGATCTTTCATGATATTAAATTTGTCAATTTTTTTGAGGGCTGAAAATTCTAACAATATATTTAACTTTTATTGCAATGAAGTTTCTTCAGCATATTTGTCGTTACAAATATGATAAAATATTTAAAAATTGTTCTTTTTAAAATACTTAAAAATCACCCTTCAACTGTAAATTTCGCAAATCTGTGACATAATAAAGCAATATAAAAATGGCTAGTTTAGGTGTTTTTTTGTCAACCAGTTATTAATCAAAATCTTTCTATACAAATGAGAGTTGTTATACAATATTTTTTTCTATATTGTAAAATTTATATGAGACGCGAAACTTTATATGTTTGATAGTTTATGGTTAACAACAGGAATATTTATTAAAAATGTTATTACAGGCTGCAGTTGCAACTGAATAAACTGATGAATAACCTTGAAACTAATTGCAGGATACAAAAGCATTGATAAATGATAACCTTCTTCGTATATGTCACTAGTTATATCTAATTATATAATATTTATCTCTATTTTCCTTATTATCGCGAATATATTTAACATGTTTAAATGAATATAATAATAATAATAATAATAACTTTATTATATGCGTTAAAATCATAAATGAGTATAAGACAAATTAAACATTAAAATAAAAAATGTATGCATTTTTAAAAAATTAATTTATAGACATATAATTGCTGCTGATAAGATTTGTGAGTGTATTCAAAAAATTATCCACGTACGAAGAAAGTATTAATTTGTATTAGTCCTTTCGCAATCTCTGCTTATATCTGCTTGAAAATGTGACACTGTATTTATAAATACGCACTGTATTTATAAACGCGCAATTTTCACTTCACTATAAGTATACAAATTATCTTTAACAAACTGAGATATCCTTTGTAGTTAAAAAATTTTACATTCATTTTATTTTAAGGTAATTGATATTAGCAAACATTTTATAACACTGCAATTTTGGAAAACTATGTATAAGCGCGATTATTTTTAAGTTTCTTTTTTTAATTTCTTGAATATAACGTACATCTTATCGTGAGTTAGTAATTCCTTTCTGGTAGCCAGACCGCAACTGGAAGTGTCGGTGATAATAATCGTTTCATTAAGTCTATACCTACATGCGTGTTGTCACTCGGCTTAGTTAATGGAGGTGGAACTGAAAAATGGACATGTCTTTGTTTGTACATTCATTTGCATTTCGTAAACAACATGTATAATCATAGCGTATAAATTAAACATTTTCAAAAAGAGAGATAAACATTCCTTTTACATAAATAGAAAAAAACATATTATTTTACAAATATAATATATGAAATGTTTATTTCATGAATATAACATCGAATCATGATTTCTTGTTTTATGTTTATTTTTATGCTTATTTTTTATGTTCATTGTATAAAACTATTGAAGAAAAAATTACAGTACAGATCATTGCGATTTATCTTTTTCTTTAAAAAACAAAAATTTTTTTTATATTTATAATTTTATATATAATATGAATAATATGTGTAAATTAATTTAAGACAATACTAAATTTATATATTTTCAATACTATGTTTATATATTAGTAAATTATTAGAAAAATAAGTTTATCGCACAGTTAGCTGATATTTACTTTTTAAAAGATAACTCATTGTCCGTAATCAATTTTAAGCAAAGTTAGTAGAGTATAGGTCATTTATTTTCTTTGCGAAGAGAGAAAATTATTTATATATTATCACACTCTGCCTTGCTTACAATTGTTTATCATATTTTACCACTGTTGTCCTCCAAATGGTCGGACAAACCATATCTATTATCAGTGTACGCGATAATATAACTAGCACAATATATAGTGCAAACTCTGTTTAAATGTAAAATACAGTCCAGTTGCCATAGTCGTTCACCTAGGTAAGTCTGTTGACCCTAATCTGAAAACTGTTAGAAGGGGCCCGTATCTGGTTCTGTACATGTGCATAAATTTCCATTTCCGTACTTGAAACTTGGGTGCATGTGAGAGGCCGTAATGCGTAAAAAACTTCGTAATTATATTACACAATGCATAAAAAAATTGTCATAGAACTTATAGAATACAACAATTGAC